CGAATGTGTTTAGTTGGACATGGAACACGAATGAATAACTTGCTGCGATCAGGGCGAACAACAATCGCCAACACACGGCACCGTCCACACTCACTGCAAGCAAATTGTTCATTCGTCTTTATTCGCGCTCATTGTTTTGTCTGGATTCATCTTTACACGTATAAAAAGATCACGTAAACGATCGGTAAATAGCTCTCGGCCGGCTGCTGATGATCGCGACGGCCTTGATCGATATACTGCTGCAACAGTGGCAACCGGCTCGGTACCACCGCTCAGTCACGTAGACCGGGTGAGGAACTTTTTTTCTTCTTTCTCTCTGCATCGCGGAAAGGCATTTATATACTCTATAACCAGCGATGTGTTTATCGACATTTTAACATATAATGATAACTTATTATAATGATAACATGTCTTGCGAGGCTGTGTTAATAATAGCAACGAGAGGTTAGATCAACTTGATGAAAAAGAGGACAAAAGAGTTAGATCAGTGAAAAGAAACTTGAGGAAATGGACGTTAGGTCCGATTGAATTCGCGGTCAGTGGACAGATTTTTTTTTAAGGCATGAGGAATCGCGGATCAGAGTAAATATAGAAAATAATTATACGGTATCTTAGACTTACAATTAGACGGTTACGTCGGTTATTCAATCACGACTCGAGTCGGATAGGAGGAGAAAAGAGACTGGAGCGATTTTCGTGTACACGGATACATTACAAACAAAAAGGTATTTAACATAATTCGTTATACAAAGTATAATATACAGGATATTAATTATATTAAGTACATATATTGTGAAAGATGTAAAGAGCATAGATTAGAGAAGCGTCGTTTGTTAAAATCTTCAAGACGAAAGAAAACAAGAATTATGAAATTTTTTAACGTTATAGATATATTCTAATTTGATGCTCTAAATTGCTTAGTGTCGTTTAATTTGTGAAGGAGTACAATGTTGTTGCGAAAATATATAAAAGGATGGTGCCAGATTCGCTGCACGCTGCACAGTTGCATTTCCCTCAAAACCGACGGAATCTGTTCCTTAGCAAATGCAGGCACGTTCGCCCACGTTCGCCGATCGCAAAGAACGGACGGAAAAAAAACATAAAACACTGGATACAAATGACCAAAGGCGAGAAACGATTAAAAGTGATTTACGAACCGGTTTCTTACGATCGCAAAACGGGAACGTGCTCCGCGCGATATTCGGCTTTTCGGGTCTCTCTCTAAAAGGATCGGCGATGATTCCTCGACCATAGACGCGAGGACGAGCGGATCGCGGATTCGTGCCCACGAAAATCCGAAACGCGCGCATTTGAGATTTCGCGGTACTTAGCGAGAGGCGAACGAAAGTGAAAGCTACCGGCGAGACGCGACGCGATGTCCGCAGTCCGGCTCGCGACCCGCGAGTCCCGTGATTCGATTCGACTCAAGTCGAGGTGAGTCGCGGGAGGCTACCGCAACCTAGACTCCAATTCATCTTGTCTCAATCGAATTTAAAAGGGGGTAATTCTCTCGTCCGAGAATAACTGTGCAATCGTTTCCGACGTTTCGTCTCTCTCTCTCTCTCTCTCTCTCTCTCTCTCTCTCTCTCTTTTTCTCGTGAGATCATCGAGTGATTAGAGGAGAGCGCTCAGCGCGGTGGCCGGAACAAAGTGTGACGCGACCTGGAAACCCTCTTGGTTCCCTTATGCAGTAGACGTCTCTCGGAACGAGACTGTGTCGATAGGAGAGAGAAAGATAAAAGTCGAAAGCGTGTGTTTCTTACGCAATAATTTTTAGTAACCAGCCGTGAAATAACAGCGCCGTAATACCGCCGCCTCCGCCACCGTCCTACCTCGCACTCTCGCCGAGATGCTCGTCGCGACGAGCACTAAGGACGAGACACCGTGACGCGTACAGCGTGCAGCGTGCAGCGTATAGCCACGGTTAGGTCGGCCTTTCGTAAGTCCGACGAAAATGTCATGCGTATGCGTCCGATTTCGTATGTACAATTATGAATTAAAAAAGCGCTTAACCGTTAGCGCTCGTTTACGCTTGAAATTGCTTGAGATTGCGTTATTAAGTTGAAAGAGCGTCTTTCTACAATTCAAGACGTCATCTTTCGTCACTGTTTAAATATCATTATTAACGGAAAATACTTGAATAGGTCACGTCTAAAGAACGACAAACACCTTTATATAAATAAAATCTCGCAGTTACGCCACCGAATAGTTTACTGTCAGGTTGTCAAACGCATCTTTGTTCACGCACGGTAAATTTAGCACAACCGGACATCACAGACGCGCGCGCTATTTAGCTTTAATATATTATATTACTATTTACTATTACATTACGCACTATTAACCCCTTGATACACAAAACTGTTAAAAGTTAAAATATGCAATGACAGACAAAGATGCTGACGAAGTAAGCGTAATGAGAGAATCAAACCTCGGCGGCAATAAAACCTCTTACCCGGCTTTTTTACGAGTGGATGGATTTTCCTTTGTCTTTTTTCAAGAAGAGTATATTTTTTCGAAATTGAGAAAAATGTTAAATTTAAAAATTAAAATTATAGGACGTAGACCACGGAAAGTTATTTCGCGTCTTATTCCTTCTTCTTCCGTACTTAAATATTTTCGTCCGTTCTTAATACGTTTTCTGTCACGTGATACATTATACGCCTCTCACGCTGAATTTTCCGTTCAAATTGTTTGATGTTGCAGATGATTTCGCTACTGAATGTAACATAATCATAAAATTATATATCATTATATCAATGCTTAAATATTATGTACGATTATTACACATTCTAGAAACATCATTAGATCTCTTTCTCAATAATAAATTTGTAGTCTTGTAAATATTATACGATATATTATGTCACAAGCAAGACTATTAGTCTCCAAGTAGGGCGCGTGTGACATACGAGACCTGAACGGAATGTTACCGAAAATTGGTAGAGAATTTTAGTAAAAAACTTGTTGATAGTGAACAACTACCTGCTACTCCAATTTGCGCTCATTATATCTCTTGCGTTATATCTTAGCCTTTGTAATTGCTAGGTACTTTTCACTCGCAATATCCGCGTTATTTTTGTGTTTCAGTATTTTCATCATTTTTTCCAGCGGAATCTGTTTGTATTGGTACCGTCCCATATTCCATATTCCACATTCCACATTCCACTCTATTCATACATCTTGTACATTCCGTATTTTAATATATTTTGAATCGCACGCTGCAAGAACACATCTCTAAAAGAGGCATTCGTAAAATGCCGAATGTACACAATTCGGCGTTCCATCACTCCCACGTCGTACTTGACTGCGATTTACCATTAGGCAATTGGAGGGAGGGTGTAGGAGGGATAGGAGGGGACTCGCAAGATCGCATCCGCGATGCGATCGACGATGCGTTCTCCGGCGCGGCGCGGCGGCGGAAAAAAGTACCGACGGCTCTTGCAGGATCGTGAATTACGGAGCGTTGCAAAATCCCACGTTTGCGCAATTAAGCGAGCGTCTCGACCGACGTCGCTGAGAAAAGAAACTAAAATTTCGTAGTCGTAGCTAATACACCGGTCTCCCGTTAAAGTCTCACGAGTGCGCGCGCGCACGCGCGCGTTTTGCCTCGTATATCTCGATTGCGCCACGTACCGTTACAATCCGAGCCGAATTATTGCACGACCGCAAACGGGGCGTAAAGCGATTGAGCTAATAAAACCGCTAAAGCATTATGTATCAATGGTCACCTAATCGACCCGCGCTTGTTTTATCGTCTTCTCGTAAACCAATAATCACCGATTAAACAAACGGTTGGATGAAATAACGATGAAATAACGACAAAAATATAATTAAGAAACGACCTCAGTGGCTCCACGTTGATCAGCCCCTTCCCCCCCTCCTTGAAGTGTGATTATATTCGTTGTTGTATATAGCGATATCTTGAGAACATTACGTTGATCTTGACATTTATGTAAATCTCCACGAGCTTGTAATTCGTTCGTAATATTCCGAGGCGTTTCCATACATGTATATCTTGACAGTCGAGCGATGGATGATGGGTAGTTTGTCGACGGATGATGCTCCTTGTTTTTTTTTTCTTTAATTGCTGTTTGCGGAACGCAACTTCTGACAGTTCTGACAAGGTAACGCGAGAATGGCACTTTCAACACTAACGAAAAAAGAATAAAAACCTGAGATTATTACCACTCAAAGTTCTTGAGTTGTAAACGAAACGATACTCGTCTCATATAGAGACGAGATTTACATATCTTACATAATATAAGTTAAAGAATCTACTCAGGTTACTTGAACGCTTTGTGATTACTTGCGCAACGACAATATATATAACGATAACGATATTGTCGTTAAAGTTACAGAATTGGACTACTGGAATTCCAAGTAATCTCGGATCTCTCATGAGATTTTTTTATCAGTGAAATCGCAGTCCTTTCGACTCTCAAGACTTGAACATCAGCCGCAACAAATTTCCGATTCTTTCTCGCAACGAGATATTTGCAAGTGCATTTCGAATTTCGCAGATATACTCATTCCCACGAGTTTGTATATAATTCGCTTAGACCGGTATCGTTTCTCAAGTACAACATGCAAAATACTCCTAATTCAAATATTCAAAATGATTTGATGAGAATCGTGGATCGTGGCGTAGAGAGTTGTTCTATTTCAGTAGAATTCCTTGCCATCAACATCCTTCTGTACCCTCTATAGAGGTTGTTCGGAACCGGTGTTAAACTGTAGGTCCTCTGCGTAAAAAGGCGCATCCTAAGGATACACGCAGAAAGAGTCACCATTGTCCATATATGTGACAGAAGAAGACGGTTAAGAACTGAAGAAAGAGGAATTTTCAAAACACCACTCCATTATACCATTGTTTTTCTTACAATTTGTAGTATTGGCGTAGTATTCGAAAGACGACGTTTAATTATCGAATTTGATTCATGGATTCACAAGTTACACATCTAACTCAATTCCAGCTCTCTAAAGGATAAACGTCTGTTCTCTAGAAGTGGAGTGCGAGGTGTCCAGCCAAGTGGAGTATTCACTGCAGGCGATCTGGGGCGTCAGCATAAGAGAGCTGCATCTAGCGCTCTGGAAGCCTTGGAGCACGTTACGGGACGCGTCACTGAACGGGACCCTTCTACAAGGGCACGCGCAATACCTCACACAACCGCAAACGTATCCTTTGAAATCGACGTCCGTCGACTTTAAGTCCCGGTAGGACGCGGACGCGCGATCTTACGCGAGTTCCGAGGCGTGAAATAACAGGAAGTGCAATTTCGCGTAATCTAGCAGGCCAGTTAAATCACGTGTGATCTGGAGAACGTCTGGTCAGCTCTGGCTGGTCTCTCGTAGCAAAGGATTAACGACAAAATTATTATATAATTGCGCACTGTTTATATTAAACCAGTTAAGCCGGGGGCACGCGAGAAAAAGTCACAAATCAATCGATCACGGTCATTCTCAGTCGGATATTTTCCTCGATCTAATTTATATCTTGAAGAACGCACGACATCGCGACTGGCCGCCTCGCTCGCTACTTATTTTTCTTCACATTTTTTACTCGTACATTTTTTTTCATACTACTCGTATATTTTTTTATGTTGTTTACTCGTACGTACTTTTCCTTGACCGAAACTGCAGTAGACAGCCACATGGTGAAGAAACGTTGAGATTGTCATTACCGGTCCCGGAACTGGAACTCGGCACCCCTCCGCGGCTCTGCTATCCTCTGGTGATCTTTCTCACTCGAAGAGACAACCGGGATCCCCATCCCGACGAAACCGTGAGTAATTTCTTTACCATATCTTATACATTTTTGTAAAAGAAGAAGAAAAAGAAAAGAAGGAGAAACCCATCTCATTGTTTTTGTTACTACATATCATCTCCCGCCCACGTTGATCTCTGTTTAAGGTGGCCCTGGTGAACGTTGTTCACATTAAGGACAGCGTGTGTACGTTGCCAACTTCGATTCTAGCGCAGTATTTGAAGCAGGCAAACGGCCAACTATCTTGCTTAAAGGTGAGCGCAAGTTATCTATCATTAATCATCGATATCTCTTGAGCGTCTCGAGGACGCGAGAAATTTATTATATCCCTACTCCGGATCATCCGTACGATATAATTATCGTGTAAAAAATGATAAAGATGAAAACGTGCACCAAGAAAGGCAGCCGCGAAATTTCTCTCGAAACTCGCTCATTGATAAACACACCGTGACAATTCGCGCTCGCTATTTTCTCGCAGCAATTGTACCTGGCCACGGGCAACTCGAGCAACTACGATGAGAGTGACGCGATGTCGTCAGCAGGTCTGGGCTCGCCAGCTCTGGCACTCGCTGAACCGTGCAACAACAACGACACCGCCAGTGGCGGCGGCGGTGGTCGGGGCGCTTTGGTGGCGTCCGGTCAGAGTGGCGACCAGGAAGGCGGTTCGCTCTGGAATACCGCTGGCGAGCAGCTCTGCGTCGTCTGCCAGTACTTCCCGTTATCCCGCGCCCTGCTACCATGCCGACACACCTGCATTTGCGCCTCCTGCTTCGGCAAGCTCGACCGATGTCCGATGTGCCGCAGCCCGATCAAGAGCTACTTCTGCATACGCAGCGAGGAATATATGCCGCCGGAGAAGGAGATCAACCCGTGCAAGCAACGCCAACCTAGCCACGGGCCCACCCATTGGCTCCACGATTGGAACGACCGGCTCACCGATTTCCTCGGCTTCGCCCGATAGGAGTATCACTGAGGTCACACGTCCTGTATACGCAAGCGTCAGAATGGTTGCCAGACTTTTTGTTTAGTACAAATTATTTCTGCAGATTTATTCCTATGTAAATCCAAGGTGACACAGTTATTGACGCGGCGAAATATTAAATATCTTGTAATGATTGCGTTCCACAAAAACAGAGGTATTGTATTTCACTTCTTTATTGCTCAAGTTATTTTTAAAGAATGAAGTTTTAGTCCGTCCTAATTTTTCTTATGTAACTTGAAAAAATTACATTTAGTAGATAGTTTATTAACTGTTACTTTCATCTCTGATTTACATTGGAATAAATGCATAGAGTTTACAATCGGCAAAACAAAAAGTATCAACCAACTAACACTGATCATATCTTGATTTAGCGTTTAATTATAAGGGAGATGCGGAAGTTCGTAAAGACGTATTTACGAAAAAGACGTCATATGGTCATCCGGTTGTTTATTCGATGTTACACGTGCAAATAATTTTCACATAAGATGTCGCACAATTACCACACATTCGTTTTAACTAGTTTCTTCGATTGGACGGAAATGTAAAAGTTGCATCTTTTCTTTTTTTTTAGTCAAAATAAGAGTAATTACAAAAAATTGTTGTTTAACACATTTTTTCAATTTTTTGTATCACGTATCTTCGAAAGAAAATAATGTATAAATTAAGATTATTTAGATGTCCACTTGTGAAATCAATCGAGAATTATGTACGATTTTGTCATAGACATTCTCTTTGAATTACCATCATTTATTCTCAATCATTGATTATTCAACAATTTTTGACATATGTATATGCACACACATGCATGTGCGCACACACGTGCGCGCACGCAAACACATACACACACGCGCGTACGTTTACTATTCGGGGAATATTTAATTGAAAAGATTTTTGTAATTTTTTATATTCTCTACTTATACATACACGATGTTAATTTTTTGGAAATATATGTAGATTTGAGACATTTCAGAACTAAGCTTTTTACTTTTATCGAGAAAAGAAAAGATTTTAAAGTTATAACTTGGAAACATTGTATATATTCTCCCTTCTACTTTACTGTGCGCGTCAGTGGACCAACTGGCCCATCTGAACAAATCTCAGCTCACCCAATTAGAGGAAGAAGCTGACAATGGTAACGAACTTCCGCACTCCGTTCAGGAGACAGATACCGCGCGATGCAGTTGGATCATCGTACACTCGACGTCATTTATATCTTTGCATATGAAATTAGACATTTCGTTCGGCATCACGAAAGCCTAAACGCAAGTCGAACGTCTCTAGGCAACCGTGATTCTGAATTAAATATTCTTGACAACTTGGGATGCATATAAAGGATTAAATAAAATATTAAATGACAAACAAAATAGGCTAGGTTAGGTTACGTAATATTAAATTAATTAAATAAAAACAATTTTGCGGATTTTTTACTCCTGATGCAAGAATACTTAGATGCGATATCCTCGATCTGAGAATGTCTAATTCAAACATAAAGACGTAACGCCAAGTGTATTCATCCAACGATCGGGTGGCCTATTCCAAGGGGAATCTGTAGAGTTGCCTAAATTCGAAAATATGATATAATTACAAATTTCCTTAAAGAAAAAGCACTATTCCTCTTTCTCCTTCCCACCGTGACTCTATCCTAACTGAATAATTGAGAGAAATTAAAATGAAAAATTTGTACGTTTTAATTTAGATAAATTATTCAATTTTTTTTATTTACAATTGATTATATAATAAGTTCCTTTGTTTTAATTTTATGCCAAAATTCTAGTTTTTTGTACATCGTCATTTTTTGACGCTTTCTTTTTGAATTATATTATCTGAAAGACCACCCGCATAGAGAAACCGTATTAAACGTTATAAGCAATGCCGAAATTTCGAGGACTGCGACTACGTTTCCCTAAATGACCATGTATATATGGGAGATCACACCGGGAATTTTTACTATGTGACGTTTTGTATATGTAAGTACGTTAAATGTAAATACACTATGATAAGCGAAATCTATGGTACAATATGTGTGTGCGTGCGTGTGCGTGTGAGAGAGAGAGAGAGCGCAAAAATGCTGTCTAGTTTTGGTGTAGCGAGATTGAAATCGACATGCAAACAATATACCTAGTATGAATGGACAAAGTATGGCTTTGTTGAACTGAATGCAACGAATAGTTGGATATGACAGAGAAGAAGAAGAAGCGCGCGGACACTTTGTATGCGCGCATACAAAATGTCTGCGCGAATTGTTTGTTTAGACTACGCATCATTATTGATAATAGACATAGTAGTATTATAAAAGAATGCCACGGAAATGTACAGTACGCGATTGCGTGCGGACCAGCGATAATATATTTTTTCACAAGTATTTATTACTTCACCTATCGCAGTCCCACCTAATTCGTTGGCATCTCATTCCTCTGTAAGAAGCCAATGCTACGAGCGATATAGCCCGATCTTATTCAGTATTTAAGATGGTTTCAAATAATATTAAGATTATATCCAGCCAATGTGAAATGATTCTACACGTTCTCAAAATTGTTCACAACGTTTTTGAATATAAAATCGGACTATAAATCCTATTCGTGCTACATCTATTCACGTTACGTCTATGTCTAGAGCAAATGTAGTTCTACATCCAAACCGGGCAGCATTGTTGTTCTTAACTGTACGAATTCGCCGGTAAGTTGTCCGATACTTGATAGATATATCTATATGTATGTACGATTATGTAATACATAAGTTTACTTCTTTAGTAGAGCTCGCTCTCGCAAGAAGCATTTTCTTTGGAACTTTGCACGTACAGTTAAAGTATTATCCGTTTCGCAAATTCTTATACGTTTAGTGGGTATGTGTGTGTGTGTGCGTGCGTGCGTGCGTGTGTGTGTGTATGTGTATGGGCGGGCACATGTGGCGTTTTTGACGAGTTTTTTAACGTTAAAACGCCAACGAATGTGCGGCACTAAGTATTCGAGACGCGTGAGGGAGGCGATGTTAATTCTCTAGATTAGGATCATTACGTTAACGTTTTAACGCTGTAAATAGATAGACTGTGATAATTTCTAACAGCATCTGCGTGAACACGTTGACTCGTGAACGGGTTGTCCGGGGGGACTCGTTTGGGAAAGAGACCTAAAGAGGTTTATCTGAGGTGGAGGAGGAAAGGATGGTTCGATCGAAGGACACGAGAGAGCGAAGGCCTTTGCAGTCAATTTATCATAAAAGAAATTAACACTTTAATTTATGTTCTAAGCGATAAAAAGAAGGCGTAGATCGAATATCTCGATTCGACTCGAAACGCACGTGTACATAATTTATTTAAATAAAATGTATTAGCTGGCATTTTACATACCTTTCGCCCATCCATCATTATATTCGTTATAATCATTGTCGTCGAACCTTGGTGGTTGGTTCAGAGAGAACTTTTGGATCCGGGATCTCGCATAAAGAATTTTTTGTATTTTACAATGATATTTAATGTTAAGGTAGTCCCCTTACAGTCCCCTTAAAAATTATTTTACGTTGATTCATTTTGATTTCATGACTCAATATTTGATTTTATTTGACCTTTATTTATAATGCCCTGCGTTAAAACATATACGTACGAAAGAGTTCCAGATAAAAATTCTGCCAAAAAATAGATGTTATACAAAATATCTGTTACGTAAATCTTGTCGCCACAAGAATATAATGAAAACTGCTAACAGAATATAACGGGAGATTGATGGCGAAAACCGAGTTTACTCGCGTTATCCTTTCGTAATCATTTGAATAATGTATTCCATTGACCATTTAAAATTTAAATGGTTATGAGATAATCGGTTCTGCTCGATTTCCGCTAGCAATCCGCTATGGAATTATATTATACCATTTATATCTGCAGGTCCCACTGGCAAAAAACGAACTTGACGCGAATACGTTGATGCCAATCTATCACAATATTCTGCTCAAATCCGTTAGCATCCGACTAACATTTTGCTTACTTAATGTTTGAAATAATGTTTATTTTATCTAGTATATTTATTTATTTATTATTAACCGGCAAGGATACGCTCGCAATCACACAATTCTCTCTCTCTCTCTTTCTCTCCTGAAACTCGATTCTCAAGAATATATGTTATATTAATCTAGAACGGATATCATGTACAGATTGGTTTGTTCTAACAGTATACTTTGGCTACTCGAAACACATTCGCGCTCCATTGGGACAAGGAGGACACAGCTAGATAATGAGATAAAGCACAAGGAGGACGGATATGGAGCTCGGAAGACGGAAGCCCACTTTACACGATCTACAATTCGCGCGATTACGAACAATTATGTGCAATGAGGACAACGTTTGGTCGATTCGGAAAATCGCTACTTTTGCTTTAATAATAATCAACGGATAAACGCATTCTAATACCAAAAGTTAATTGAGGTAATTCTTTTGAAAGGAGAAATCTTAAATTGCTACTTTGCTGAAAAAAGCCTCATATGTATAATATCTCGTAATATTTTTAAGAATTTTTTATATTTTAAATTTATGAAGATTTCTAAAAAAAATTATTTATTCAGATTTCTACAAGTTTTTACAGAATGAGAAATTTTTAAAGAATATTTTAAAATTCGTATATAGGTATAAAGAATTCTATAGAAATAAGATATACAATTTCTCAGCATTTTTCAAGTGTTTCAATTTGTATAAAAAATGTGAGAAATTATTTTCTCATCAGGATATAGAGAAATCTAAAATTGCTACTTCGCTGAAAAAAAGCCTCATATATAATATCTCGTAATATTTTTAAGACTTTTTCATATTTTAAATTTATAAGAATTTCTAAAAAAATTTTTTATTTATTCACATTTCTACAAGTTTTTTACAGAATGAGAAATTTTTTAAGAATATTTTAAAATTCGTATATAGGTATAAAAAATTCTAGAAATATACAATTTCTCAGCATTTTTCAAGTGTTTCAATTTGTATAAAAAATGTGAGAAATTTTTTTCTCATCAGGATATAGAAAAGACAAAGGTTTATCGAAATATTACGTACATGCGTTACATATACATATATGTATATATATGTATAGGCATTTTGTTTAAATTGTTAAGAAAAAATAAAAAGCGTTCTTAAAAGAACATCTTAAAGAATAATTTTATAAAATCTGGTAGTTGTCGGGCACGTGAGAAAGTTTGTTCTTCGCAGCTGAAAGATCTTTTGTATAAAATATTTAAATGCAGTATATAGTAGATGAATTTTGCACTGTTCATTTCTCCTCCTTTTCTCCCCAACACCTAGTCATATTATACTATTCCATTTTAAGTGCAGAAACTGCAGAAAGTATAATAACGTATTTAGTGCAGCATAAAGAAAGAACGGATGTGTGTAAAGTAAAAGGAACCGTGGCGAATCGCGAAGCGATCGTGTGAAACGGGTTGCGCGTTGCGACTTGCGCCGGCCCGGCCGGGCCGCGCGAATGACAGCGCACAGCGCTCGTGTCAGGTTGAACGTTGAACGTTGAACGAACGTCGCGTCCGCGAATGCGGAGCCCGAAGACCGAAGCGACCGAGCCTTTGTTTCTATCGTCGCTGCGGGCTGCGGCTGCGTCCTGCGTGTCCTCGTCGTCCTCCGGTGTTTGCGCTCGCAAGGAACTAGTGAACGATGACCTTCGCAGCCACGAGTCGCGCGTTCCACGGAAATGTTTGTTTTGCTCGGCTCGTCGCCCTCGTCAGCCGATGAAACGAGAAACTGGAACTGGATGAGACCGGCGCGACCAAGGACTGAAGACGATCGTGACTCGTGAGCTCGTGACTCTCACCACCGTGCATCGTCCGCGGACCTAACCTCTGTCGCCCCGAGGTTTTACCCAGATTAACCTGAAACCTGAAACGCTACGAACCCGCTCATCTCGCTCGCGAGGCAGAGCCGTTGTGAACGTCGAGGACCGTCGTTCATCGAGCTGCTCGACTCTAGAACCCCAAGGAAAGGAACGACGAACGACCCACGTCCCACGACGATACGCGAGGATACGTGCCGCAGGAGAGATGGCCGGAAACAACGAGCTCTGGGTGCAGTGTTTCACGTGCTGCCTGACTCCGCGGGCGACGAGGAACAACAGGCGAAACGGGGCCGGCGGTAGGCCGCATCAGAGGCTCAGGATAGACCGGAGCATGATTGGCGTGCCCACGAACTTCAGGCACACGGCGCACATCAGCAGCGGCGACCTCGACATGTCGATCGCGCAGCTGGCCGACCTCCAGGCGCAAATGCAGAGGAAGAGTGGTTTCGACGGCGACTTTGGCGCCAAGGTACGCCTCAAGCCTCAATCCCAAGATATTTTTTTCTTTTTCTTTCTTCAGAGTCTCAGCTTTATTATTATTATTTTTTTTCCATTCCTGACAATCCCTTCTTACCTGTTATGCAAAATATTGTCTTTTCTCTTTTATCGCTTTGCCAGAGCTACCTAGGTCAGTTGACGTGTTTTTGCTCTTTCTGTCACAGACCTGCTGAGGATAGCTTCATCGATGTCGCAGCTGGGTATTTAACACGACGGAGACGGAGCGAGAGCTTTACGATATGGCGGAAGGAGGACAAGTGAGATGTTTTCTTTACAATATCCATGTTCCTTACTCGTCCGATAGACGAGCGCATTTCTTCCATATGGACAAGATTGCATTTTGTACGATCATCACTTAGAGAATTAAGACAAATTTATGTACACGGACAAATCTCTGACTTCCATTCCATGAGAAACTGCCAGAAATAATCATATTGCATGAGTTTACCTCTATGTTTTTGACTGAAGACGCGTTGCGTCTAAAAAAAATAGTGTTGAAACATTCTATACATGTATTCTAAAAATCATGCGTCTTTTTTTGTCGGCGATTTGACGTTCCATGCGGAAAAAAAGTATGTACAAGAATGAAGAATGTATCGCTTTATTTGTAAACGTACTTTGTAAGGTTTAGAAAATACAACGTAGATAAGTAATTAGCGTATAAGTAATCGTATCACATAATATCACATATGATAATATAATTCTGTACACGTAATTCTTATCCTATTTTCAAATATTGTTTGCGTAATAATACAAGAGAGCATTTTGGCGATATTTATATGAAACCTGCCTAGTTCCTTCATGGAGAAACCTCCGTTCCGTTTCCCGTTAATCAACATCGCCGCGTGTCCTCGGCTTGCGACTTTCTTTGTGCGCAAACTTCCTTCTTCGCCCTCTCGGCACGGCGCGGCGGTGGTCCTTCGCGATTCGTAGACGCAATATAAATAGATATAAATAGAAAGCATGAGGCGCGAGGTCTGAACGCAGAAAAAGAACGATGACAGGAAGTAGTTTTTATTTCTCTCTGACGAAAGAAAAAAAAGGGGTAACCAAAACCGCTGGCGACTCCGACCAAGCTCGACAATTAATTTAATCGACGAAATTGTTTACAGCAAAATTTTCAACTGTATATTTCGTTGCTCTTAATCTCTCTAAACTTTTTTCCATGTACGAAACACAAAATAATTTTACCGTTAACGGTTAATAATTTTAACGGTTAACGATAGAGTTGGTTGATATAATTATTTGATTAATTAATCAGAGTTTGGTCAACCAGTCATTCCAGTCGAACATCTTAACGTGCGAAGATACGACTGCATCCCGAACGTCCGCATAGGCACGAATGAGACAAAAAAAGCCACACCGTCACTCATGCTCTCTTTTCGTTCGTCCTATAGCTTTCTTAGCGGAACATTGTTGACGTGGAGAAGACGTTCGGTCTGTTGTATTGTGTCCGATTGGCTGGCAGGTTTAGTCTTAGTCCCAGCCTGGCGGTAGGATCTCCGATGAACTTGACGTGACAGCAGCAGCTCGACGGAAAGCGAAATTGATCCTTGATGATGTTACCATCGTTTCCCACCGCCGCCAATTCTCGATAGATGAACTTTTGTTTACAAGTGGTCTTGTAGCCCTCGGCAAAGCCATCGATCATATTGCACTCCTGACCGTCGTTCCTGCGAAATCAAAAGATACAGCTCATTACGGATAAAGAGATTCCATTTCCATTTCCATATTACTGTTCTCTAAATGGAATGCAAGTTCTTACAAGCAAACCTCGATGCGTATCCCTTGCTTCAGGTCGTCCTGATTCACGATATACAACCATTGCTTTTCCTTGTTCTGCGCGGTCTGCGGATATACCACTTGTTCCTGCGAATTTGACGATTAATGATATTTCAATTTCAAATATTACTAATATTCATTGCAGATTACACGATACAGAGATAATCTAAAGAACGTGAAAAGTTCTTTAAAGGAGCATACACAGTAAAAAATAAGCCGATCAACTCACGCGAAATCGACAAAGCGACACATCGTCCGTCGCATCTATCCTTTGTTCGATGTCGGGCATCTGAAAAGACGTATGCGGATCCATTAAGACTCTTGGCAAAATTTGGTAAATGAAATAAACAAATGCATATATCGGGAATTAAAACCGGCACAATTTGATGATGACGATAATGATTTTAATTTAAACTGCCGATCCCTCATTGTGTGTAATCGTTTGTGTGTGTGTGTGTGTGT